TGACGCCTAAGGCTGAGGTTCTAAAGAAGAGCCTGGATCAGACTCTTCAAGAAATAGATGCCGAAATTATTGCCGAGGTCGAAACACCGCCAACAATTGAGGTTGCACAATTCGAGCTTAGTGCACAAGATCCCAGTACTTAGGAACTTTTCTTTTCCTTGTACTTTTTCTTTGAATTTTTGTAATTTTGTTGTTTTTGGAATCATTTCTATTGAACAATTTTCTGCGGGCCGATGTGCCTGTTTATGTACTTGAACATGTTGTTTATTCTCAATGCAAGTCTTTCTTTTTTTTTTGCTAAGTGTTGAATGTTGCTTTTATGTATGCTCACTGCCTTTTCTTCATGCTTTGCATATTGTTTCATACTTAGAATTTTTCTTGTCTTCCCAAGTCCGACAACTTGGTTCCTCACCTCGAATACATGCACATATCGAATAACCACATTCCGGGTATAGTACAATCATCTTGAATTGACTTATCTCAGGTAGTATCTCTTGTCAACGATCTCGGCCGAATTGCACTTCTAACAATTTCTCATCAAATTTTTACAAGTGTTGTTTTTTCATTTGTATTAACTATTTTCTAGCAAGACTTCACCCTTCCAAGTCTAACAATCTGGTTGGTTATCTCGGGCATAAATACCTCGGGTCTCCCTTCATTCAATTACTTCGGATAACTTCAACTTGTAAAATTTTCCAAAATTTTCGCAAGTGTTGTGCTCATTTTGCCCCTTAATGTGAACCTAAGTACCACTTATGTTCACACTAAGGACACATTACATGGTTATCGCCCAAGTCTCATTTATACATTTTTGACCGAGGTCATCATGTTTGGCTTGCCCAAATGAAGCACTTAAGGTTTAACCTTAGTGCACCGACATTACCATACTCCTCGACTTTGTTTTCAAACTGACCAAGTCATGGCCAGTTTCGCCTTGTTTCATGTCGAAACATTGCAGACTTAGTTCAACTCTACCGTCATGGCAAGTCTAAGTTAATCGTCATATTTCATGCTGAAACATCGCAGACTTAGTTCAACTCTACCAATATGGCAAGTCTAAATTATTTGTCATGTTTCATGCTGAAACATCGCAAACTTAATTCAACTCTACCATCATGGCAAGTCTAAGTTATTTGTCATATTCACTATGGGAACATCGTCTTAAGACTGTTCAATCATATCGCACAAGTTTCAACAATATTTCATAAAAACAAAATCGAGCTAGTATTTTATTAATACTTCGGCTAATAAATCTTTACATAAAACTCCAAAAAGAGAAATTAATGGTAGAAAAACTTCAAATTGCTTGTGTTCCAAGGTCTTGGTAACTCCTTGCCATCACTTTCATCAAGTCGGTACGCACCATTGCCAGCGACTGAGATGATTCGATACGGTCCTTATTAGTTTAGGCCAAGTTTGCCCTCCTTGGGATCTTTCTTATTACTGACAACCTTTTTTAGGACAATGTATCTAATTTGAAACTTCTTGGGATTAACCTTTTTGTTGTATGTCCGAGTAGGCTGTTGCTGGTATGTCCTCAGCCAAATTGCTGCTTTCTCATTTCTTTCTTCTATCAAATCAAGATCTCAGGCAATGAATGCCTCATTTGTTCCATTCTTCACTCCCTAGGTTCTGATTATAGGGATGCTGATCTCTAGTGGGATAACTCATTCAGTACCATATACTATGGCAAAAGGAGATTCTCCAGTAGACCTTCTCGACGTAGGCCGATATACCCATAGAACATTGGGCAATTCCTCCATCCACTTGTCCTTGGCAGCTTCTAGCTTTTTCTTGATTCCTTCCAAGATGGTCTTATTCGATGTTTCTGTTTGTTCATTGTTCTGGGAGAAGTAAGGAGTGGAATAATAGTTCTTGATCTTGTATTTCGCACAGAAGTTTTTGATCAACCTGCTGTCGAATTGAGTGCAATTGTTTTCTAATATGGCTCTTGGGATTACAAATCTGGTGATTATGTTTTTCGAAGTGAGATTCTTTACGTCCACATCTCAGATTTTGGCTAAGGGTTTAGCCTTTACCCATTTTGTGATGTAGTCAGTTGCTACTTGTAAAAAATTCATTTGTCCAGTTGTTTGGGGCAATTGCCAAACAAGATCCATGCCCCATTGGGCAAATGGCCAAGGATTGGACACTAGATTCAGATCTGCAGCTGGCTGGTGTATCAAATGTGCAAACTTTTGACACTTCTCACATTTTCTCACGTAGGCTTTAGCATCTTTTTGCATGTAGGGCTGCCAGTATCCCTGAGATATGGCCCTGTGAGTAAGTGATCTACCCCCAGCAATGCTTCCACATATTTCCCTATGGATCTCATACAGGAAGTCCTCAATTTGGAATGGATACACACATCTTAGAAGGGGTCCAGTGAAGGACCTTCTATACAGATGGCCTTCTGGTGATAGACAGAACTTCGCCGACTTCAATCTGGTCTTGTACGCTTCTTTTCTGTCTGTTGGCAGCCTGCCATCATTGAGGAACACAGTTATGGCGTCCATCCAGCTTGGACCCATCTTCACGCACATTACTTCGTATTCTGTTACTAGGGGCTCTATACTTGGGCTTGACAAATAATCTACCATTATAGTTCTTGCCTTACCTGATTTCATTACACTGGCAAGGTTTGCCAAGGCATCGGCGTGCATGTTATCATCTTGGATAACCTGCTGTAGCTGGCAGCTTTCGAAACGTGTTAGCAGCTTGACAACCTCTTTAACGTATGTTATTATCTTCTTATCTCGAGCCATGTACTTGTCTGCTGCTTGATTTATAATGAGCTGGGAGTCACAGAAGACTACCTCCTTGTCGGCTTCCATAGCTGCTGCTAGCCTCAGTCCAACAATTAGTGGCTCATACTCTGCTTCGTTATTTGAGGCCTTGAATCCTAAAGGGATGGAATGTTCTATCATATGCCCATCTACTGGTACCAAAACCACTTTTGCCCCTGCTCTTTGCCAGTTTAAGCTGCCGTTGACAAAGAGGTGACATGAGTCGCCGATGTAAATATTATAGGGTTTTAGCCTTTTTTTTTCCATTCTTTTGTTCTACCGACGTGGGGTTCCATGGCCCCAGTTGGTTTTCTTCTTCCTCTCTTGGACATCCTTGGACGCGACTCATCAGTGCTGGCCTTGGGATTGCGCCAGGAGAGAATTTTGCCATAAAATTGGCTAAAACTTGGTCCTTGATTGCTGTTCTCGGCCTAAATTCTAAGTCATACTGACCTAGAACTATAGCCCATCGATGTACTCTGCCTGTCAGGTCTCCATGCTGTAACAGGGACTTTAATGGATGTTCAGTTAGCACCACAATCTTGTAGGCTTGAAAGTAATGGTTCAACTTTTTCGAGGCCATTACCAGGGCCAATATCAACTTCTCCAGAGGCAGGTATTTGGTTTCTGCATTTGCTAGGGTCTTGCTTACATAGTATACTGCCTTCTGTTCACCTTCTTCGTCTCAGATTACCATCACACTCACGGTGTGGTCTGAAACTGCCACGTACAAGAACAATTCTTTCTCCGGTACCGGGTTTGACAACACTGGTTGGGTTGTCAGGTACTTCTTCAAGTCGGCCAAAGCGACTTCGCATTCTTGTATCCACAGAAAGTCTGTGGTCTCCTTCAATAAGCCTAAAAACTGTTTGCATTTATTTGAACTTTGGCTAATGAACTTGTTCAAGGCCGCTACCCTTCCGGTCAAAAATTGGACTTATTTAGTTGTTGTCGGGCTCTTCAAGGCAATGATAGCCCTGATCTGATCTGGGTTCGCTTCAATACCCCTTCTAGTAACCACGTACACTAGAAACTTACCACATCCAACTCTAAATGCGCACTTCGAGAAATTGAGTCGAAGTCGGTATGATCTCAGGATATCAAAGACCTCTTTCAGTCGGTCAGATGGTTTCCAAGTTTCTTGGTTTTAATAACCATATCGTCTATGTAAACCTCCACTGTCCTCCTAATCAGATGTTTTAACATCTTGGTGAACAGTCTTTGGTATGTCGCTCCTGCAATCTTCATCTCAAAAGGTATTACTCTGTAACAATAGAGTCCTTTAGGGGTGATGAATGCTGTCTTTTCTTTATCCGGGACATATATTGCCATTTGGTGATAACTTCTGTATACGTCTAGAAAACTCATCATCCCATGCCCCAATGTGGCATCTACCAATTGATCAATCTTGGATAGTGGGAAACTGTCCTTGGGACAAGCCTTGTTCAAGCTCGTGAAGTCCACGTAGACCCTCTACTTCCCATTCTTCTTCTTTACTACCACTGTATTAGACAACCAGGTGGGATAATTCACTTCTCTAATGACCTGTGCCTCTAGTAGCTTGTCTACTTCTTCCTCAATTGCCTGTATATGTATCAATGTCAGTCTTCTTGTTCTCTGGACAACTGGTTTTGCCAATTTGTTCACATTAAGTCTGTGACAGGTGACCTCGGGGCTTATCCCCGGCATCTCATAAGGTGTCTAAGCAAACACCTCTATGTTCTCTCTCAAGAAAGCCTCATCAAGTTTTCTTTCTTCTTCCTTGGCTAAGCCAGAGCTGAGGAGGAACAATCGTTCACTATCTCCTTCTTATACCAGAAGCTTTTTCAATGTTTCTTCACTCTTCTTGGCAGGTGCTTTGCCAGCATCATCCAAGACCTCGTGGTCTTCGCTTTCAATCACTGCATTCTCCACTTCTCTTACATTATAGGTGTACTTCATTGTTTCCATAGAGTAATTTTTCACCTGTACTTGGTCCCCATTTACTTTTTCAACCCCTTGCTCAGTTGAAAATCGCAACAGTTGGTGTAGCGTTGAGGAAATAGCCCTCATTGTATGCAACTATGGTCTTCCTAGAATGATGTTGTATGGGGAAGGAGTATCTATCACAATAAACTCCGTTACTACTTTCTTGTTTCTTGCCTACACCTCTAAATTTGTGGCTCTAAGAGGCCGTGCCGGCGTCCCATTGAATCCGACCATAGGGCTGTCTGATTACTCTAAATCATCCGGGTGGAGGCCAAGCTCTTTGTAACATCTGACATATTTGATGTCACAAGAGCTACTCCGATCAATCAGTATGCGTCTCACTTGGCAATCTCCAATCTTCAGAGTTATTACCAGGGCATCATTGTACGGATGCTGCACCGCATCCAAGTCGACCTCAGTGAAAGAAATAACCAGTCCTTGATATTCATTTGTTCTGAGCTTCTTTTGCTGGACCTGATATACATGCTGCAAGTGCCTTACTCTCTGGGTCTCCCCTCGAACTTCATTTTTATTGACCTTCGAGTGAATCATATTGATTACTCGAGGTCCCTCCACTTGCTGCGGTGGTGGTAGTGGAGGTGGTGTTGTTGGTATTTGGGGCAGCCTTACGTGCTTTTCCCTTGTCCTCGCCTTGTCTACTAGGTCTCTCAGGTGACCCTGTCTGACTAGATCCTTCAGGTGTGACTTTAGAGCCCTGCATCCCAAAGTTGGGTGCCCATCCTCATTATGATAGACAAGATGCTTCCTAGTACTCCTGACCATGAACTCGCTAGGGATCTTCTCCGGTGCTTTGTAGTATGACTGATTCTTAATCCTTTCCAAAACTTTATAGATCGGGATCCTGAATACCATGTTGACTGCCTACGTAGCTCTCGTTCCTGTTTCTAGCCTATCAACGTCGGCATTCTCTCAGCCTCGCTTCGGCGAGCTGTTTCTCCTTTCTTACTTCGGTGTCTTCGTTTCTTGTGTGTCTTCCTCTACTCTGGCATACTTTTTAATTCGTGCCATGAGCTCTTTCATGCTCTTCGGTAGGGTTTTTTAAAGTAATTTCCAAAGCGAGCAATTATCATTCAGGCCGTTCTTAAAAGACACGACCGCCAGCTCCTGGTTACAAGCTGGAATTCGGTTGTACATCTCGTAGTATCTCATGGTGTAAGCCTTAAGGCCTTTGTTATCGCTAATCTTCAAAACCAATAGGGAGTTTACCCTCAGTGGCTGTGATTTGTTCGTAACAAACCTGGCCACAAACATTTCGGTTAGGCCTTCCCAACTCTTTACACTTCCTTTTGGCAACTTATGGAACCAATCCGATGTTATCTCCCTGAATGACGATTGGAATACCTTGCACAACAGTTGCTCGTTCCTGCTCCACAAAGCCATTGAATTCAAATACAAACCAACATGAAAGTTTGGATCAGACTTACCGTCGTAGATCTGAAACCTCAGCATGTTGAATCTCTTCAGTGCTTCAAACGTATCCAACTCTACTGAGAATCGCGTCTTCGACCGAACATTGGACGTGATCTCGACGTTGAGCCTCTTCCTCTGGAGGTAATCTCTCAAATCCTCCTTTGTTCTATAGGGAGCTTGGCTATTAATAGACTTCAGTCTCTTTGGCGTGTTGCTCTCGATGTAATTGTGCGTCTTCTTTAGGAGTAGGAAGCGAATATACCGATCCGCCCAAACCAACTGAACCGATCCGATCCGCCGCATTTTGGATGGATGCATGATGACGAGCAGACGATTGCAGATTAATTTTTTCCAATCCACCTAGTTTTGGACGGATGACGGATTTGAGGTTCCTTTGGCCGCAACCAAATCGCCAAACCGCGAGAACTCCTAGTAATTTGTAACACTTTTTGTTTTCAATTTGTTTAAATATTCTATTTGTATTTTCAATTGAAAAATAGTTTAAATGTTTTCTTGAATATATTCTGTTGAAAAAGAACTTTCAATTTGAATATATTTTTTGAATTGAAAAAACTATATGTATTATTTATCTATATTTTTTGGTTTTTAAATCTAATTCTAAAAATGATAAATAAAAAAGATGATATATGCTAGTTGGTTTTGTTTTCAAAAACAGATATAAATGTAACAATACAGAGGCATACAATCTCTACTACTGCTCTGTTCATGGTTTTGGTGGTTTGAATTTTTTTTTTTATATTTTAAAAACCACATATTGTAATACTTTATGTGGATGAGGCATACTGTGATTGTAATATATGGATGAGGCATGCAGTGATTGTAATATTTTAAAGTTTCAAACTTTATTTCTTTGGATAAAGCATGCAGTGATTGTAATACTTTTTTAAGTCATTGACTATAATACTTTTTTTTTTTTTGAGGAAGTGCACAAGTTGAATTATGTTGAAAATTTATAAAATTTTAAACCGCCAAACCAATTCGCATCCATCCGCCAATCCGCTTAATCCACATCTGTTGGATTAGCGGACGGATGCGGATTGATTTTCTCCAATCCGTCAATCTGGTGGACAGATAGTAGATTGGAGGTTCCGTGGGTGCAATTGATCCGCGCTCATCCTTTGTAGTCTTGGACTTCCCTTCGTCTACTGAGACCTTTGGTTCTGTCGAGACCCCTTGACATAGGTCTCCTTGGTCCATGGTGCCCTCTGTGACTCGCCCTGTACTGACTCTGTACGTCCGACATCCTTTGATGGCTGATGTGAGTTTCCTTGTCCCTTGCCCTGTTGTGGGACAACTAAGATTGCCTTCTGTCTTTCTTTCAGGGTATCAGTCTTAGCTACTGGTGCCTATGTCTCTTGCAATTGGAATGATGGCTGTATTACGTTGTTTTGCATCATAAAGTTGACCACAGTCTGCAAGTCTGTCAACTTGTTTGCCATGTCCTTTATCTCCTCATCCCTTCTCAAGCATCTATTCTTCCATACCTGGAGGTCACTTTCATTGTAGTTTTCATCTCTACCTCCATTCTTCGGGCCATTACGCCCTTTTTCGTCATCATTTACCCCAGCATTCAGTTCTTGTAGGCCTTCATTACGATTCTTTTCTCTAGCATTAGGATCCACATGTTCTTCTTCCTCACTGTGGATGTCATCCTCAATTCTGTTTTCCTGCCCGTTGTTGGCTATCTATTCTCCTTAAGTCCTCACAGACGGCGCCAAATTGTGGGTGTTGATTTCTGACCACACAACCAAACGGGAAACTTAACTGGAGAGCACCGGCAAAATAGATTGAGCCAACTATCTGTCAACAAGAAGATGAGAATACCGCAGTGGTTAGTCTACCAGGGGGCACTCCGACGATCAAGTTAGTAAATCTTATCTCTCACAGATATCAATACAGTGCTTAAACTCACAAGTAAAACTTACCTTAGACCCACGAGGGTATCTCACTTTTATAACCAGCAGTGACCTAGTCCCCTAGAAGCCTCACTTCATTGGACTCCGGCTCAATACTCATTTTGGACTCTCGGCTAGATAGGGATAAACTCCTCATGAGCCTCATCCTTATCGAGACTGAGAGCCGCTTCTGTTCTAGGACTCTTATCCCTTATCCGAATACTTCGGGATTCCGACATTACTACAGAACATCTTGGTAATGCCATGGTCACATTCGCAACATGATTCATTTATGTGGCACTTTAGCCGACATCTCAGGGCTATCTCAGCCACATGTCGTCGTTCGTAAAATACTTCCCCACATAAACTACATAATAAATGTGAGTCAATATATTTTTGTGATCGTAATATTTTTCACCACATTATGGACTAGAATCCAGGTATCACAACCTTTGATTTTATCACTTTAAATAAAAATATCAATCAAGGTGATAGTGATATTTTTTTACCACATTATTTTTATAAAAAAAATCTAGATAAAAATTATTATAATATGATGATGAACTCCATGAAGAAAAATTCTAGGCTATTTTTTTTCTTTCTCCTTGGCTTTGATGTTGACGGAAGGCCTCTTTTTGAAAGTCAAAAATTAATTTTTAATTTATTTTAGATCATATTACTTTTATTTTCTTTTAAAAAAATTAAAAAATTAACTCTTAACCAATCCCTCCGAATAATCTTAAATCATGGGCCTTCATAATCCTAAAAGTCGTGAAGTACTGGATGGCGAATCTACCAAAAAAGTTTTCTCACAATGGGTAACTGACGGAAAAAAATAAAAATAATAATAATTACAAATTAAAAAAAATTATTCAGAATTTTATTCAAAAAATTCAACATGTGTTTCAAGTTTAAACTAGGAGATTTACATATAAATCTTAATAGATAAATTTATTGTCTAATAAATTTTATGATAATTAATAATTTTTTTTTATCAAACACTATTAAAAAAGTTACTAATTGTTAATTTTTAGTTACAGTTTAAAAATTTTATCTCAAAAAATGTCACTAATTATAAATTTTAACGATAATTTAAAAAAAATATTAATAAAAAAAGTTGCTAACTTTCAACTTCCAGTAACAGTTTAAATTTTTTTTGTCATAGTAAAATGTTACTAATTGTAAGTTTTAGTCATAATTTATAAAAACCATGACAAAAAAATTTAATAATTATCAATTTTTAGCGATATGTAAAAAATCTTCACAAAAAAATATTTTCCACGATGATTTTATCGAGATTTATTTTCAATAAAGACTTATTAGAACCTATTAGAACTTATTTTCAATAAATCTACCTATTAATTATTTAGCTAAGTGTAGGATCCACCACATAACAATTAAGGAAAATGCTAGAGGTCCCAAATTTTTTACCAAATAAATGACCAAATGTCTCACATGAGTGTGGGCCCCACAAATTGCGGACCCCACACCCATGTGAGACATTTGGTCATTTGTTTGGTAGAAAAATTGATGTCCCTAGCATTACCCAACAATTAAATCATCCATCATACAACAATTACATCTATACCAAAACATAAATTTTCATGGCACAATTCACAACAAAATTCTGAGTTCATGGATTTATTTCAAAAAAAGAAAAAAAGAAAAGAAAACAAACATGAGTTATCGTTTTCTAGGGCACAGACAAGACAAGAATAGAAAGCCCAACTAAAAAGTTAACTCCGTGTACTTTAGTCATTGTCAGGGTAAGTAGGGTTTTGCTTCAGTCCTTTAATTTTGTCTAAAAAATATGGTTTCTAAGCCGCGGTTTAGCATTTATATTAGGGGTAAATAATTACAAAAGGATAAATTGGTGTTTTAAAAAATTGATAAAAAGTTAATTTTTTAAATTTTTGATTTTTTTGGAGACTTTTTTGGCAAAAAAATTAGATTGTTTTAGATAAAAAAGTTGACTTTTTTGACTAAAAATATTAAAAAGTCAAAAAGTTGACATTTTACCCATCTTCTCAAAGTGTCCCAAAATTGATTACAAAAATTAATAAGATAAAATATTATTTTTTTATCTATAATCATTACATTTTTTCTCTCACAAAAGTTAAAAAAGTTTCAAAACAAAAACCAAACGAAGCTAAAAAAATCAGGTTAAAAAAGTTTCAATACAAAAAAATTGACTATATTAGCTAATGCCAAACGAGCTCTAAATAATTTTCAACCTAAAGTTATATTTAATTTATTAAAATGAAATGGGATGAAACAATTATTTCATCATAATATTTATCTTTACATTTGATTTATTGAAAAATAATAAAAAATATTAAAAATGAAATTATCATTCATTATTGTGAGGGAATAGTTATTCTATAAAAAGACTAAGAAATGATAATTTCATTTCATTTAATTTTATTTCAATGAACCAAATAGAATATTAGTAATTTAAAAATGAAAGTTTACAATTTTTTTTAAACAATTGAATTGGTGAATTATTTAAAAATATTGGATGGTTGT